ACAGCCCCACTGGCCTATTCATGGCAGTGATGATTTCAGTTACTTTAAGACTCACAAGGTACTAGAAAGAAAGATGTTATTTGTAGCACTGTTTTTTATTTCTGTACCCCCAGCAATGGTCCCTACAATTATATATTTCCCATCAGCCCCATGTTGTATTCCCAGCATAGCCCAGCAGTCTGTTGCTGGAGTGAAGGTGGGATCATCTTTACGAGTAATTTTTGGTAATGCCAAAGGAAGCACAAACTATTAATAACATGCATCCCAGCACTCAAACCGTAACTGTGACAGGACCCGTCTGAGGCGAGTAGTTTTCACGGCTGAAATTGCAGCCCCAAGATGACCCCATTATGGAATCTGGTTATTAAGAGGCTTGTTTGAGGCCACACGAGGACAAGAAGAGAATTTTAAATACAGTCCTTGGCGGAACAGAAATAAGCAAGTATAGCTAATGCTTGCTGATTACGCTACTTTGACCAACAAACTTAGTGTTTTGGGGCAGTTACAAGACACATAATACAACTGCAATGGAAATGGACAAAAACTTGGAATTGGACTGTTGGAAATAATTTACCAACCAGACAGAAACTCGCCACAAAGATCTTGGAGGCACTCAGCAACCAAACAGCTTAGCAATTAGCTGCCAGAAAGCTCTGAGATTTCATCAGTAGTTCAGTGTGACCTACTGCTGTAATAACTATTGATTTGGACTGATGTGAAAAATGGCCTACGGGTGGGTTTGTCCTCAAGACTTAACACAATTGGAGCCATGGACATCAAACACTGGAAATTGAATCTGTGTCCTTCCCAAGGTGCCTCATAAGAAGCTAATGGCCGTGGGTGTCTTCATGGTGTGCACCTGGGAAACATAAATATCATTTAGGATGATAGAACAATTAACAAAGAGCCTACATTATTATGTAAGTGTGAGGTTACTTATGTGATTGATGGGAACTTGGGAGATACTTGTTGGGCCTTACAAGAAAAACTCTGAAAATTCTAGATTGTCAGGCATTGTACTTATGCTACTCCTCAGGCCTAGATTGGGTAAGACTTTGTAAGCAACTACAAAGCAATACTCAAATAGTGCACGAAAGTGCAAGTAATGAAGACAACATAGCAGTTTGTGACATTAACACATACTAAAGGAGAATTTTTGCACATTGCTAATCAAGAACTTGCTTCAACCATTCACCACAGGTATGACATGGTGCATATTGGGACATTCCCCAAGCTGCATATTGTCCTGACTTTTAAAATTCATCCCATTGGGACCTTGATCATTGCTCTTTCGATGGACTGAATGTTTATGTCTACCCAAAATTCGTGTATTGAAATCCTACACCCAAGGTGATAGTGTTAGGGGTGGGGCCTTTGACAGGGGATTAGGTCATGAGGGCAGAGACCTCACGAATGAGATTGGTGCCCTTATAAAAGAGACCCCAGAGAGACCCTTCGCTCCTTACACCATGTGAGGTCACAGTAAGAAGATGGTGATCTCTGAGGAAGCGAGCCCTCACCAGACACCACATCTCCTGGAGCCTTGATCTTGGACTTCCAGCCTGCAGAGCCATGAGAAATGAATTTCTGTTGTTTATAAGCCACCCAGTCTGTGGTATTTTGTTATAACCGCCTGAAGGGACTACGACAGCTTGACATTGTATTCATTTGGCTGAATATTTAAATGGCTGCAAACTGCCCAGAGAAAGGTAAAAACAGCAACGGAAATTGGAAATTGTAATGTAACTACAAAATAGTAACCAAAGGGGTGAACTGTAAGGGTAAATAAAAATAAAATTGAATTTTCCCTCTTTCCAAAGGGGAAAGAGACCTTTTCTCACCCTCTCTTTTCTTAGAACATTAGCAGATTACATGTGCTGCAACCCAGTCTGGTTTAATGCTTATTCAATAACAGAACTAGTATTTTCTTTCTTTTCCACATTTGTGGAGAGAAAATTCTGGGTTGGCAGATTTTATTTAAAATAATTTTTTTCCTCAATAGCACAAGGTCTGCCTTCCAAGTTATTGTAAGTGACAGTTTTAGGAAGTTTCATGACGACATAAGATGAGTCCAGCCATGCCCCTCCTTACTGCCCACCCCCGATGAGTGATATTTTAGGTGTTTGTTACAGCACCCAGACACCAACACCCTCTGTGTCACTTAGGGCAGGTTAGGTAACAGCGTGGTAACAAATCAACCCAACATTCACTTTTATGTTTATGTCTCATAAACTTTTGATGCAATAAAAGTTTGTTTCTTGCTCGCGATAGGGTTTAATGCTCACCAGTGGAGTTGGGGGCTCCTTCCTGCTCCTAGCAGTCAGGGGGCTTCGGGATGCAGATCCCTTTTGTCTTGTGGTATCTGCCAAGTTCAACATGAGGGAGGCCTCAGAAATAAGAATCGCAAGGTAAGTCACCAAACTTCTAACCCAGAAGACGAAATGTTGGGGTGCCAGGTGCCAGAGGGAAAGCCAGCCAGACTTCAACACGCTGCTGACCTCTGCCATAGGGTCACCTGGGATTTTTGGAGTTACAGAATCAATGTGGGAAGCCCAGGGTGCCACCTACTTGGGTTTGGGACCCAGAGGCCTGGTTTGGAGTCTTGAGAGACTCGTGGGGGCGAGGGCTCTGCTGAGCACGGGATTTGGTGTCAGGAATCTTGGGTCCAAGTCCCGGCTCACCTCTGACTAGTCGTTTCAACAGAGACACGTCATTTCTCTGAGCTTCGGTATCTTCTGTAAAAATGTGCATTCTACGGACTGCATGAGATGGTTTTGAAGCTTGAGGGAGATGATGTTTGGGGAAACGCTTTGAAAGCTATAAGGCATAGGACAAATACCACTTAATATTACTCATGGTGTCTCTGCAGAGACGTCCCCCGCTGGGCCATCCTCTTCCCATCTGTTCAAAGAACAGGGAGAAGCAGACTGTGGACGTCCCTTCCAGCGCTGCTGGCCACACAAACCCTCCCTCGTGAGTCCTCTGAGGCCCCCAAGTCCTGAGTCTGCCAGCCCCGAAGTCTGGAAGGTTTCGTAGCTCATGTGTCCACCACATGACAATGGAAGGACTTGGAGAGATACTTCCAGAACCTTTCTCCACAAACACTACACAAAGTCAAGACCCTGTCCCCACCCTTGGCCCAATCCCCAAAAGAGAGTCACCCTCATCTGTCTTTAACCCTCTCACCCCCACCGTGGCTTTGGGATTTCTCTGCATTGTGTATTTTGTCCCCAGCCTGTTAATTGCAACTGCTACTGTTGAGCCATCGGTCCCAGACCGTGTCCCCCAGCCCCTGCCCCGCCTCCCCCCACACGCGTTTCCCGCAGCTGGGCGTGATCAGTCAGAAACAGCGTCTCAGGGTCAGCACAGCTGACCTTAACGAAATGTCTCTGGTGTCTGCAGAAGGGCACCGCTTGGGAACCAGGACTTTGGGGTTCCCCTGTTCTGCGCAGCTCATCTGAGACTCCCTCCTAAAACGCAGGGCTGGGACGCAGTGACTGCTGTTGCGACCTGAGAGGAGGAGCTGGGGCTGGAGCAAGTCAACAGAGTCAACATGTGGGCCCCGGCTGAGCCCCGCAACGTCGGCCCGGGCTCCGCCTTCCTCCACGGCTTTGCCATGGCCTCCCTGTGTACGCTGCTCTCCTTTCCTCTGCCAGGACAGATGCCAGTTGACTGCCTGTTGACAGGGGCTTTGCAGGCGTTTCTCAGAGGAGAGACAAGAGGAGCAGAACCTCAAGTCTTCGTGGACGAGCCCAGAGCCTACGAAGGTGGCCGTGCTCTTGGCCTTGGCCTGAGCCCTTCTGCAACCACCGAGTGGGGACCTCTGACACTCAACCCCTCAGATCTCTCTTAAGTCCCAGTCTCCCTGTCCCCATCCATGTGTCCCATCATGGAACCCTTTGGTTCCCCTCATCCCACCTGAAGCCCTCTGCGTGCTGAATTCCGTCTCAGTGATGCACTGGGAAGCTGACACTCATGTACACATATTTTATTTCTCATAAAATAAAGGATGATGTGCTCGCCCATCCTTTACAGTTCAGTGGCCTGGAAGCCTTCCTAGCAGGACTTTCTGTCCCGTGGAGACAGACAACCTGACACCGGGTGTCCGTCAGGGTGTGGTGTTTGGGGGACGGCATCTTCTACAACAGAGCAGAGTGGTCTCACAGGCCCGTGGAAAGGATGTGCTTAAGGATAGAACTTGTTCACTTTATTTTCCTTGCAAGAACTTGATAGAATCTAGTATAAAGTCTGTCCGGCTTAGCTCAGAATGCAATGAAAGGTGTTACTCTTTGGCATTTAACCTGTTGTAGTGAGGGCTTTCCACAAAGGGCCCGGCCCAAGAGAAGGCCTGCGGGAGGCCCGGGCAGGGTGGTTTGGGGGCACACACAGGCTCCCTGGGGCTGTGGCCGGCAGCGGGGAGCTGCCTCAGTCCTGCTGGAGCAGGCTTGGGAAGAGCCTCAGGGGCAAATCTCTCTGTTCTGGGGTCTGGGCCTGGGGCTGCCCCACCCCTGGCTCTGCTCCTTCCTTCCCTGTCTTCCGCAGCCCCTCGTCGGTGCTCCCCGCTCCTGAACACCCAGGCCAGTGGTCCTGGGGCTCCTCCCATCTGTGAAAGGACAGGCTTCTTGACCACCCAGAGCTGGACCTCCAGGATGGCACCTGCTCAGCCTTCCTACCGTCCAGGGACATCGGCGAGATGAGCCGGGTGGGGAGGGTGGAGCCTCTGACGCAGCCTGTCTGGGACGGCAGCAGACGGCAGTCATCTACAGCCAGAAACAGGCCAGCTGCCCCTGAATGCTGCCTCCTGGCCCCGGAAGCCTCCTTGGGTTCCTGGAGCCACTGAGTCCCCAGCTCAGCCAGCCGCCGCCTGGACACTGGTCATTCAACCAGGGCAGTGTGGCACACTGGGGCACCTCGGAATCCCTGACATCACCCCTCCTCTCCTCTCTGCCACTCCTCCCCCACCTCGCATCTCTCCTGCCCTTTAACACCTCCTGGGGCTGTTACTCTTCCTGGAGAAGGGGCTCTCGGTCCCCTTCCTGCACCCTCTCGTCCTCCTCCTTCTCCATGCAGCCCACGGTGGCAGCTAACCCAGCGCCCACGCCACCCCCGACGACAGCGGCCCCCGTGGCCCCCACTGCAGCTCCAGCTGCCACCATCCCGGCCTCGGCAGCCAGTGCCGCTGCTGCCATGCCCGCGCCCACCACGCCCCCTGCCAGGCCCATGAGCCCGGCCCCCACGGCGCCCCCCACGGCAGCCAGGTGGCCGCAGAAGCGCATCGTGTAGGAGTCCATGAAGGCCTTGGCCGTGGCCTGCAGCTCGGCCTCCAGCGCCTCCAAGGTCTGCTCTCTCCCCTTGCACAGCATGGCCACGCCGTGGCGAGCCAGGATGGCGTCTTTCTGCGTGGACAGGAGGTTCCGCATGGTATCGGGCAGGACCCGCAGCGCAGAGAATATGCGCTTGGTGGCCAAGTCCTGAGGTGGGGAAAAGAGGAGGTGCCCTGACCTGGAGACCTAGACGTGCCCTCCCCAGCGGCCCCGCCTGCGCACGCCGGCGCCCGGGCGCCCAGGGCTCACCTGCTGCCGCACGTACTCCTCAAACTCCCTCTTGGCGGCCTCCGCCTTCCTCAGGTCGTGCAGCTGAGCGGCCATCTGTCCACAGGAAAACCCAGACTGCCTCCCTCCCTCCCCCTCAGCCAGGGCACCGCCTGTCTCCTCGCCTCCACTCCCAGGGCCAGACCCCCGCCTCCCTCCCGGACCGGAGCCCCGGCCCTACCTCGGCTGGAGACGCGAAACCCGGCCCCGTCCTGCCCATCCAGCCCGAGAGGTTCTGCGGAGACACCATGGCCAGGTCAGGGAGAGCAGGCCGCCAGCCCAGGCGCTGGGTCTCCAGGGAGTTTTCCCACCTTGATCTCCTGAGCGAGCTGCTGCCCTGTGAGCAGGCGTCTGTCCCCCCTGGCCACTGCGCGGCCCTCGTTCCAGTACCCCTGGCAGCGGCTCTTAGCGTGCTGGGGGGCCGCGCTCAGCACATCGGAGACGTAGGCCCCGAGATGGTGGTGGAAATCGCCACCCGTATCTGAGGACGAGATTCCGCATGCTGAGGAGACAGGGGCTTTGGGAGGAGAAATGGTGTCAGGGCCGGGAGAGATGGGTACTTCGAGGGGCTCTGGGTGCCGGGCAAAGAGAAGCGGGGGCAACACACGGGAGGTCTTGGCTCCAGGGACACTCACTGCCGGGGCTCCCTTGGCCTTTGTCTGTCCACCGCCTCCCCGGAGTGGGCAGGAGGTAACAGCGGGCTCGTCTCCCGTGGAGCAGCTCCTGGACCTTGGGGTACTTGCCGGACAATCTCTGAGAGATGGGTTGAGGAGAGCACTGAGTTCGGGCACCAAGCCTCCCTCACCTCTGCCCTGGCCCCTGGCCCCTCCATCCCTGCCCTCCGCACTGCTCACCTGGAGGATGTCACCCGCGTGCCCCTGTCCTGCCTGCTTGGGGTGGGATGAGTCCTGACGAACTAAGAGATCCAGGTGCTGGAAGAGAAGGGGTCCTGCCACCAGCAACTGAGGATGTCAGGTCTGGGGCTGACAAGTCCAGAAATGAGTGTCTCACCTGAATTGGCACCATCCCATAATGCTTGCCCATCACCTCGGCCACTTGGACAAACATCTGGGGTGGGGCACAGACAGCGTCAGGGCTGGGCCACTTCGAGGACCATGGTCCGTCCCGAGCCCGTCTCCCCACCTCCCTGCGCCTGCTGTGGGAACCAAGCTTCCCACTCCCAGTTGGGGATTGTCCCGCCTCTCCCCAAATGCGGCATCTCAGGCTTTGTCCTCTGCCCTCAAACCCACCAACCCAGTTCAAGTGTCCTAAAGCCCTAGGCCAGAGCGGGAGGCACCGGTTCCCTTTGGCTCAGCCCGGCCCTGTGGGCAGGCCAGGGATGGGTGATGCCCCACAACAGCAGTCTCTCACCTCCAGGTAGTCCAGGTCTGTATCTTGCAGCTCCTGGGAGGCGCTGAGGATCTGGAACCAAGAGCAAGATGTGAGAGGGTCCGCAGGGCCAAAGCCACACTCGGAAGACCCTGGTGAGGAGGGGGCTCCCTGGCAGCCTCAGAACATAGGAGAGGCCCCGCACGGTATGGTGGTCCTACAGGCCTTCTGCGGCCCCCGTGACCATCAGCCCGCCTTTACCGACTGGGTGCAACCTCCCCCTCCGGGAGCACCCCCAGAGTCTGTGGGATGCCTCGGCCGGAGGCAGCACCCCCACCTGGTAGGAGCTCAGCATGGAGGTGAGGGCGCACAGCTTGATCCTCGTCTCTCTGCTCAGCTCCGGGCTCATGGCGTCCCCTGTGTCCACCAGGAACACAGCCACCTATGCGGGGTGGGGGACGAACCAAGGGGCCAGGCCTGTCTCGCTCCTCCATGTCCCCCGACCCTGCCTCTGTCTCACCCAGTCTTCCTGTCCTCAGATCCCCTCCTCTTTGTCCATCTCTGCTTTCTCTCTCTTCCCCTCTGCCCCCCCATTCCTTGAGCCAGCCCGACCTCCTCCTGCCCTTCCTCCCCCTCACCTTCCTCCCTTCTTTCCCCAGCAGGAAGGGATGGCTCCACATCCATATGCCCCTGGTGAGGCCATTGGCTCCCCAACCACACCCCTGCAGGGCACCCTCTCCTCCTCTCAGCCAGCCGCCCTGGCCGGACTCCTGCAGGGGAGAGGAGGGAGAGGACCGGTTGGTCTGTTCCTGGTCCCCACAAACCGGGGCTCCAGACCCACTGCCCTGCCCCAGAGCCAGGCTGGACCCCCAACCGTGCCCCCTCCAGCCTCTGCCCAGCCCTGCCCTCACCAGGCCCGGCAAGCCCCGAAGCAAGTGGCTGAGAAGGAAGGACTTCCCTGAGTGCTGCTCCCCCAGGACAGCAAGGAGGCAGACCGGGGTGTCCCTGGCCAGGGGGTGCTTCAGGCAGCGGTTGATGGCGCCCATCCTGAGGATGAGGCCCCCGGAGGCGCTGAGGCGCACCAGCAGCAGCGGCTCCGCCCGCGCGGCACAGGCCTCCTGGGCAGGGAGACAGAGGCGTCCCCTGAGCATCGAGAATGGAACCCCAAGTCGAGTGTGTCCAGCCTGGAACTCGTGTGCTGTCCTGACATCGTGGAGTAGGGCCAGAGCCACCCCCTCCTCCTGGACCTGACTAACCCAGAGCCCTCTCTGTCCCCCATCCTGCCAGAGGCGCAGCCCACGGACCTGCGGCACGGGGGGCAGTGGCCGCTGCGGCAGGAGCTTCATCTTCTCCCCCAGACTCCGGAGCCCCTTCTTCTGCTTGCAGATCTTCCGGCACTCGGGGCAGCAGGGCGGCTCGCAGCCTGGGATGCGGTGCGTGCTGAAGCACCGAGCGCAGAAGTCGTGGCCACAGGCCAGTGAGATGGGCTCGCGTAGCCTCTCCAGGCAGATGGAGCAGGGGGGAAGCTCCCGGGGCACCGTGGGCCGGGGCCCCAGGCCCAGCTCCAACTTGGGGAATGGGGCATGGGACCTGTGGGGCAGGACAGGCCGTTCAAAACCAGGCTGTCTGTCGGGTGCACGGGGATACAGCCAGGGTTTTGGAGGAGAGGCGCACAGCTTGGGGGTGGAGGTCTCCTTGTGCCACTTCAGTTTCCCCTGGGGCCTCCACAGACGGGCAGAGCTGCTCCCAGAGAGGCTGAGCTCTGCCCTTTCCTCACTGACTGCACCCCGGGAACTGCGGCCCCCAGAGCAGGGGCAGCAGAGCAGTAGTGAGAGAATCCGAGAAGGAGAAGCCCTGGTGGAACTGGCCCCACCACGTTTCAGCCATGCAACCATGGCCCCGATTTCCTAATTGTCCCAAATGAAGGGGTTAGCAGCACTAGCCCCAGGGGACTGTTGAGGGGACCATCCGAGAGGATGCGTGTGCATCTGTCTGCCCAGCGACTGGTACAAACGCTCAGGACAGTCCAGCAGCAAGCCCCCGAGGAGGTGCTGCCTTCAGCCAGATCTCCCCAGGCTGATGTCCCCTACAAACCCCTGCTTCGAGGACAGCAAGGAGGGGGTGGCAGACTCCTGGTGCCCAAGCAGCCTGTTGTGCAGTTGGGCAGATGGCTCTGGATCTTAGAAGATTCCTTCCCCTACCGGCTCTGAGCTGGCATCCACCTCCCAGGAGCACCCACTTGCTTCTCCCCATCCCTCCCTCCACAGCCTGGCGGATCCGGCCTCCCTCTCCCTCCCCAGGGCAAGTCCTCCAAGACTCCGCAGGCTGGTGCCGCAGGGCTTGTGTGCGACCAGCCGTTTCCAGCTGACCTGCTGGGCCCTCTGCACCAATCCCAGCCCACAGGCCCTGCCACTTACCAACTGTTGCTGCTGTTTCCCATGAAGCTCCGTTTTCTCTCCTTGGAGAGAAAATTAAAAAAAAAAAAAAAGATATTTAGAACAGAATCCAGACTTCTGTCTTCATCCTGGGTTTCCAGGGCCTGTCTTCCTCCCTCCCCATACCCTTCCCCCTTCCCAGGTGGCCCCTTCCCACCCCCACTCTCCTCCCCATCTTAGGACTGAAGACTTGCCCGTTTGCCAAGCCGATGACAAAAGGAAGTGACTGACAAGGCGGGCCTCGGCATGGGAGGCTGGGATGGGGAGAGGGTCCGGGCACAGACAGGAGGCCCAGAGACCTTCAAGCAGAGGTAAGGATTGCTTTTCTCCTGGAAGGGCTAGCCGGTCTGTGGCAGGCGGAGGGTGAGGTAGGGGGATGGTCTCCCGAGTTGCTGACTCCCCGTCAGAGCTGGAAAAGAAATGTGACAGTCGGGAAAGAGGAGGCTGCTGCTGGACTCACCCCAGGGGGAGGAGACAGGGCTGCGGGTACCAGGGCTCCGAGGAGGGAGGGATGGAGCCTGGCTCAGAATCCCTGGCAGGGGCTGGGATGCAGGCAAGCCGAGGTGGTGAGTCGCCATGGAGACAGAAGGGAAAGATAAGGACAGGGAGGGGGAGGGGGATGACGGAGGAAGAGAAGCCACGTGGGTGCCCCAGCAAAGACAGAGGGCGTTCTCAGGTGGAACCATGGACCAGCACTGCCCCTGCTGGGCCAGCTGGGGTCCTTCCAGGGTCACAGGAGGGTGGGCAAAGAGGAGGGATGTGGGGAAACAGGAAAGAGCACCACGGGGGCTGACCTAGAGACAGGGAGGTCAATCATCCCTTCATTTCCTCAGCACCTACTGTGTGCAGGGCCCCTTGATGCCACGACACTGCACGTGGCCCTATGCATCCTACCACTCTCCCCAGGGTCATGTCACCGGCGCCCAGCCCAGCTGCAGCCTTCCTCAGCACCCCTGGGCCTGCATGTCCCCTGATGTCTTTCTCCCAATGGCTTTCACCCTGCCTCAAATTTAGGAGCCACGTCTGGACCTTCTAACTGCCTCTTGACTGGGCTCCCTGCCTCCTCCCATCCACTCCCGGGGGCGCAGCCAGCACATGCACCTCCAGCACAGCTGACCCCACACTCCTCAAACAGATGGACAATCGGCCTTTGCTTACCGACACTTACGGAGCACTGGGCACTGTGTCTGGCAGTGGGGTACAGCCCGGAGCAAGAGAGGAAGAGCCCCATGCTCCCCGAGACTCCAGTCAGGCAATGCAGAGGCAGTGCTGGGATAGAGGTGAGGGTGCAGACCGGGAGGGGAGGGAGGGGTGGCAGGTGACCCACTGAGCAGGGAGGCAGGGAAAGGCTGTCCAGGCAGAGCAAACCACACGCACAGAGCCAGAGGGGAGAGCGCGTGTGGCCCATTCTCAGGAACCAAGGCGGTCCGGCTGGCCTGGCAGGAACATGCACTGCCACGATGGGAGCATCAAGGCCAGGAGCCAGCCCAGCCTGGGGTGTGCAGGACCTAGGGAGCCAGAGGAAGACATGTGGGCTTCATCAGTCAGTGTCCCAGGAGGGCAGGAGTGTGTTCTAGAAGCCTCACTCTTGGGGCTGGCTGTGTAATTTGGAGGCTTGGTGCAAAAATGAAACTTCGAAGCACCACCAGCGGCAGAAAAGTCCATCTGCCCTTCCCATGGGCCCCTCTCACGGCTGACAGGCAGCCCCTGCCATGGTTCTGCTGGAACATGCCCAGTACCTGGATTGGGGTGGGTGAGACACCTATGCTGAGTTTCAGCCCCATGAAGGGACAACCACCACCTTGTCACACCCCAATGTGGGCCAATCCAGAAGTCCCAATCCTCCTTGAGCCCACATTCAGGCCTCCAGATGGAGGGGGCAGCAGAGGTGGGGGTGCCAGGGGCTGGGAGTGGGCAGCCAATACCCGATGCTGGGGAGACAGTGTGAGCCGGAGCTCCAAGCTCGCAGTGCATGCTCCGTTTTCCCGACAGACCTCACTCACAAAGCACAAATTCAAAGCTGAAATCATTGGGTTGCAAGATAGTGACCACACAGCACTGAAGCCCAGGCACAGGGCCCTTCTGAGCTCTGGCCTTGAGTGACTGCACTGGTTGCACACCCATGAAGCCAGCTCTGGTCACTCTGGCTACTTCGTGGACAACGAAGTGGAGGGGCAGGACTGGAGGCAGGTGGAGAGGCCAGGAGGGCTGCTGGGCAACTCAAGGCTACAGCGGAAGTAGAGGTCCCCCAAGCCCTGGCACCCGAGAGAGGGCACCCCTGAGACACAGTGCGAACATACCAGGCAGATGTACAGGTGGAGAAAGACCATGCCTGTTCCAGGTGAGAGCCTTCTGCTCCTGGGTAAAGCCCAGCCCCTGCTCCTTTGGGATTGGAAGGCCCCCGATGGTATCTGGGGCTCTAAGGGGAACCCCCAGCCCAGGGAGGCTGGCTGTGGTGGTCAGGCAAGGGCAGCCCCATTCTATTTTTGAGGCTCCACTAGTCTGTGAGGCTACAGTCTATGAGAATGTTTGAAACCTAATGGAAAAAGTTAGGGTCTCTGAACCGTGAAAAGAAAACGTCAAAATAAAAACTAATACCTGGTTAGTTCAATGTCCACTACCCCTCACATTATGTTGGCTGGTAAACTCAGCTTGTGTTATCATCCATAAAGCCAGATTCAAATCACATGAGTGCCACTGATTCAACAAATGTCTACTGAGCACCTACTAAGTGCTGGGCACTGTGCTAAGTTCTGGGGAGTCAGCTGTGACCAAAGCAGAAAATAATGGCTGTGAATTGTTCAGACGTCATAATAAATAATTCTTATCAAAATGCAACATTATAAAGAATATACAAATCCTTTCAAAAATATTCATGGCAAAAAATGTCAATTCCACTTGGTTAGGGGTAACAGGTGTCTTAATGTGTTTGCATGGATGCAGAGGGAGTCCTGCCGAAGGTCAAAGGGCCTGGGGCCAGCAAAGTTCTTGAGTCTGGCAGGTAAGGCCCTCACAGAACACCTACCCCGGATGGACCCCAGCACCTCTGGAAAGGAATGGAAGAAACTCCACTCTGCCTAGGTCCTTGCTTTCTAATTAGGGTGAGGATGCCACACAGCCCCCATGGTGTCCCTGACTGGCCCTAACCTTCCCCAAGGATTCAAAGGGACAGGAAGGGCCACACTGAGCCAGGTGTGGTCCTGCAAGGTGGGTAGGCCCCTGGGGTGCTGCTGGGGCTGAGAGGTGACTTGAGTGAGAGTGGAGTCCACGGGAGGGTCGGGTGGAGGGAGAGGCTGGGTTTGAGGTGTGGGAGCTGAGCTGTGGGAGGAAGCGAACTGCAGGCCCTAGAGACAGACATTCATCCCTCTATCTGTTGTCCATTCGTCCAACAATTATTGGCTGAGTTGGGGTGAGGTGCCAGGAATGTGCCCACAAGCCACTCAGACAAGGTTTCTGCCTTCAAGAACTTGCACAGAGTCAGAGAAATATGGGCCTGAGAGTCCCGAGGCCCACTGGGCCAGCTGCCTGCACCATTACCTTACTGCATGGCCTGGGGGAGGGACCTCAGTCATTTGTCCATCGGCCAACTGTTTGGCGTCCAAGGTTCCTGCCCTGGGTGGCAATGACTGTGTGTGGCATTTGGATTTGGATGGGGTCCAGGGAGTGCCAGTGGGAGCCCCTGCGTATCCCACCAGCTCACGGCTCAGGGGCTGGCAGGCCCAGGTGCCTTCCGAGCAGGCGAGGCTGGCCTGATGCCGTGCTCACGCCCATGCAGGCCTTCCTCCTCCCGCCCCACAGCAGGTCGGCGCTCTCCTCCCAGCCGGATCCTGAAGCCAAAAGCTCCCAGGCCTGTTCTCCCTCTGCCTCTTCCCTGCTGTGGACCAGGCTCCTGGTGGCCCAGCTCAGGCCAGTGACCTCCTGACCTCCTGACCTCTGGCTCCAGCTTCTGGGCTGGGAGGAGGTGAGGGGGTGGACTCATTTTTGAAATAACCAGATTCGGGAGCCCAAAACACAATCCCCAGGCTGGGTCCCTATTTGGAGAGGTTTCTGGGTCCCCTGATGTGGCAAGAGCTGGCTTCACACACCGTACACACAAGTGCACACATGCACCTGGCCAATGCTCCACCCCCTGAATACCCTTCAGTAAATTCTCACACGTGCACGGTGAAGATACTACCCCATGCTCCGCGTGTTCGCTGTGTCCACATGCACGTTCACTACTCTGTTTGTCTGGTGCAGACCTACAGCATTCACACACGTGCACTCAGACTCACAACTGCACTTGCACACTCACACACACACGCTCACTCACCGCTAGGCCTCATGCTCACTTACACGTGAGCTCACTCTTCCTACCACACACACAGATACACGTCTCACATCATTGCCCAACAGGCGCTGTTCCAAGCACTTCATGGGATGAACTCACCCTCCATAATGCAACCTATGAGGGAGGTCCCATAGCACTCCCATTTTACAGATCTGGACATTGAAGCACAGAGAGGTTAAGTCGCTTGTCTAAGGTCACACAGTTATTAATGGCAGAGTTGGAATCTAAATCCAGGCCATCAGGCTCCCCAACCCAAGCTCTTAACTACTATATTCTATGGTCTATTTGGTGGCAGAAATGAAGTCAATTATTGTAATAAGCCTGGGAAAGAGTTTGTAGTTTTGCTCCGTCTCAGTTTGCAGTGACTTGCCTTAGAGTAGAAAAACTGGCCCAGCCCCCATCTACGTAGAGTCCTGGAAATAGGCAGCTGAGTTCCAGATGGTTCTGCCCCAGCTTTCTGTTGACCTGGGGTGAGTCCCTGATCTTCTCTGGGTCCAGTTTCCTGGTTGGAGTGTTCCCACTCCTCTCCCGCTTCCTGGCCTGGGAGCTTCCCGAAGGAAGGAGGCAGGGCAGTGCCCACCAGGAAGGCTGGCACAGGGGGCACTGCTCTGGTGAGTAGGGTTTTAGTCTGTTGGTGCCACCATAACACAACACCACAGACCGGGCAATTTATAATGAACAGGAACTTATTTAGTTCGTGGTTCTAGAGGCTAGGGGTTCCAGATCAAGGGGCTGTACCTGATGAGGGTCTTCTTGCTGTGTTGTAACATGGTGGAAGGCATCACAAGGGCCATACTCATCCTTTTATAAAGGAACCCACCCCCAAGGCAAAGCCCTCATGGCCTAATCGCCCCTTAAAGGTCCCACCTCTCAACACTGTTGCTTCAGGGATTAAGTTTCCAACACATGAACTTTGGGGGACACATTCACCATCCATTCATCTTCCACCCACCCATCCACCCATTCATCCATCCATTCTCCATTCCTCCATCTATCCATGCATGCACTGGTTATCGACCTATTTATCCATCAAGATAAATTCATTATCTATTTATC